TCATTGTGTTTATTTTGTTTAATATATTTTTTCATTAAAATTACTTTGTTTTATTTGTTATTATTTTTTTTTATTTTTTTTATTTTTTTATTTTTTCAGTTTCCTTTAGTTTTTCTTTTTGTTTCAGGTTAGATAGGTAATTTTATTGAAGATGCCGCGCACCTACGTCAAAAAGCTGGGAGGTAGACCTTACCTCAACTACAAAAAGAAGAATATGGACAAAGCTATTGAAGCGGTAAAAAACGGCATGTCCAAATTCAGAGCTAGTAAAAAATTTAAAGTTTCGAGAACAACACTGATAGACAAAATTCAGGAAACTCATCCTTTAAGATCGGGTCGTCCATACGTGCTGACTGTCGAGGAAGAACAGTTGTTAGCAAAAACCCTTGGAGTAGTGAGCGACTGGGGCTTCCCCATGACACACCAGGATAAACGTAGAGTTGTAGCGAAATTTGTGACGAAGCAAGGAAAGAACATTCCAAAATGGAATAACAACGAGCCAGGTCTGGATTTTATAAACAAGTTTGCTGCTAGAAACAACCTGACAACCCGATTGGCTTCCAATATAAAACGTTAGAGGGCTGCAGTGGGTAAGCCGGAACTACAAGAATTTTTTGAGAACATTAGGGGCATCTTAGAAAATTGTCCGAACATGTCTACAACCACGACGAGATGAACATCACCGATGATTCTGGCTCTAATAAAGTATTGGTGCTCAGAGGAACCAAGAGAGTCGAAAGAGTTCAAGAGCACTCAAGGACATCGGTCAGTATAATGGTTTGTGGAATAGCTAAGGGGAGCTTGCTTCCTTCCATGGTTGTTTATAAAGTCCAACACCTATATGAAAATTGGACGACTGGAGGTCCTGCAGGCTCAGTTTATCAGGTGACGCCAAGTGGATGGTTTGATATGACAACTTTTCAAAAATGGTTTTTTGATATCCTGATCCCTCACATAAACGCCAACAGCATCTCAGACCAAAAAAAAATTTTAATCTTGCGTCACACTTCTGCCCTCGTGTCATCGAAGCAGCTCAAGCGAATAATATTTATAATATGACTCCCCTACCTGCAAACTTAACGCATTTGATGCAGCCCTTAGACGTGAGTTTTTTCGCTCCTATAAAGCAAAAATGGCGCGAAGTTCTGGATTCATGGAGAAAGGAATGTCGTCGAAAGAAAGCATCTCAAAGGAACAATTCCCAAAATTTCTAAATCGATTGTGATTCCATGTAGCAAATAATGCTGCCATAAACCTACAATCTGGCTTTAGGGCAACAGGGCTAAGCCGTTGTAATCCAGAGAGAGTTCTAGCAAAAATTCCTGGCGACCAGTCGGATTCCGGGAAGGTGCTGGATTCAAGTTTATTAGAGTTTCTAAAGGAGGCTAGAGGATATTCTAATGAACCGTCAAATACTCTCAAAAGGGGAAGGAAAGTAGCCACAAAACCAGGCCAGCAGATGCAAATGCCAGTTGGATAAAGAACTCCAACACACTCAGACTCAGCAATGAAACCACTGGACTAACCAGACATTCCTAAAGTTAATACAACTTCCACTACGCAAAAACCACAGAAAAATTTGAAGGCAAGCCGCTCCATCAAACCTAAAAAAAAAAAACTAAAACCGTTGATTTTGATGAACCTGGACCATTGAGAGCTTACCAAAAACAGACGAAAGTTGACATTAATTCTAAATCTTTTTGCTCGGTATGCAAATGTTCTTACGCAGCTTACACTAACAGTAATGGCTAGATTTGTTGCGTTTCTTGCTTAAAGTGGGTTTGCGGTATTTGCAATTGTGGGTTCAAGGACCCTCAATATAAATGTCCTTCGTGCAGTTCGTGTTCCATTTGCTTAATACAATACTCCGAATACACAAACAGAAAGGCATGGATCAAGTGTATAAACTGTGGAAAATGGGTTTGTGGATATTGTAACGGGGGTTCGAAAGAAGCGAGATATGAATGCTCTGCATGTTTCGACAACGACTAAAAATAGGTTCCTTTGTTTTTATGTTCTAAACTTGTTTCCGAATCATTGTATTTATGTTTTTTCACTTTGTTTATTGAGTTTTAACTAAGTTCAATAATGCTTTTTTTAGTTGTTCATTCATATGCCAAAATATGCCATACCAAAGATTTGAAAAATACACTTGTATAATTATGTTTAAAGCCTTATGTGCGTAATTTGGGCCTCTTAACCCGTTGTCTAATGATTCTGGTTAATAATTTATGACTTGGAGAAATCTAACTTCGACATCATGCAGAATTAAATAGGGTGCCGAAGGTATCCCGTACCCGGGGTAACTTCGACACCAAACAAAAAATAAAAAAACGTAGAAGGGGAGGGTGGGGGATTTTTTATTTTTTGCTATAAAAAACCAAGGCATCAATTGTTACAATGACTCATGAGCCAAGATTCTCAAGAGAATTTTTTTCTTCACAGAGCACGAATTATAACCAAAACCTGTTGAAGTAACCCCGTTTTACTGTATTTGCGTTGGTGATTAAACTGTTTATTATGCCGCTGCCGTATACTGCCCAGGAGTATGCAAACATCTCATTTATGGAGAATGTAGAGGAAATGGTCCAGCGGCAGCTAACCTTTATCGGGAAAGATATCAAAATTTGTCACGATATCCTGATTATCGTGTGTTTATCAATGTTCATCGCACATATTCGGAGGGCAGGATTCCTCACGCTCCCGTTAGAATGAATTTTATTAAAGTGGCAATATCTGGAAAACCATCGATTTTTATGTTTTTCTCAAAGCTTATGAGTTGGTCCATCACCCTTTTCAGTATTATCGTTGACTTTCCGGACACCCTGTATATATGTTTTTGAATATTGTGAATTTAGTGTAGCGTAGATTGCAAATCGAACTCCGAAAAGTCGGAAATATCTGAAATAAGTTGTATAATAATTTTAAAATTCGGAAAAAATCATAAAAATCCCCCTACTAATTACTAAGATTCTCCCCGAACCGGAAAGTTGAAAATCCGCAAGTATTTGTTTAAAACTTTGGGGTTTGGGGATCGTCTTAATAATTCGTACGGGAATTTTTGAGGTTTGTTTTCAAATTTTTAAATTATTCCATATTATTTTTTAAGAATTATGGCTTTATACTTATACGGAAATAAACAAAAATGTTTCTTACATCTTTGGAATCAGTTGGATGAAGATAGACAAGATGAAAGAAGGTTATTAAGAGTGGAAGCGATATCGAGACTGATGATGATGAGCAAGCTAAAGGGCAATACTAAATGAGTAATGAAGTAATAAATAAACAATAAGTAATAAATAATGAAGCTACGATGAAGATGAAGTGAAGGACACAAGACAAGAAATGGAACAGGATGGAAAGTATATTGGATCTAACACAGAACCAGATAATAATGAAGAATTACGAGGTTAATATTTTAAGGGAAATAATGGCACAAAATAGTTGAAAAATTGTTTTAATATTAAAATTCGAATTAGAGCTGAAAATATAATAAGGCATTTACCGGGTATCAACCAAAATGCGCGATATTCTAAAAACCCACTTTGTTGCTGGTCATTATTTATTGAAGACCAGGTAATCTCAAATGTTTCAAAATATACTGCAGTAAAAATTAGAGAAAATGCTACAAATTGTATAGACAAACACTACTAACAGAATACAAATAAAGTTTAAATAATAGCAGTGTTTGGTTCGCTTTATCTTGCTATGGTTTGTTTGGAGCTAACCACAGAAATCTCGAAGATTTTTATAGAAATGATGGCACAGAAATGGATATATTTTCAGCAACCAATTCTGCCAAAAGATTTATGTTTTTGCCAACCTGTCTTGAGTTAAAAATAGGGCATAAAGATGGAAATTAAACAAGCTTGCAGCATTTGTCAATAATTGTAAATCTGATTATACTTCTAGTGAGTACGTTACTCTAGACGACAAGTTAAAGTTGTTCTGAGGCCGCTGTGCATTCCGTCAGTATATCCCAATTAAGCCAGCAAATTACGGAATCAAGATACAGGCTTTGGTTGACTTTAAAACTTTTTACATATTGAACACGGCGAAACAGCCGGATGGCCCGTCTTAGATGAGTAATAAACCAAAAGACATATATCTTTGAATGATTGAACCAGGGACCAATCAAAATGTCACCTTTGATAATTGGTATACCAGTTATAAACTTGTCTAGGACCTCTTTGAAAGGCACAAACTTAGTACAGTACCCACCTTTTCAAAAAAATAAGGGAAAATTACTCCTCTTTGAACTCTTTTAATGGAAGAAAATCTTACTCCTTTCATCGCTCTATCATGATGACTCCATCGATGATATTGGCGACAAGAAGTTTTTCAAAATTATTAAGCTTTTATAATTGAAGCAAGATAGGGGTCGATAGAACATATGAACTATCACCTTCCCATAACGTTGATCGAAACAGCAGAAGATGGTTTCTTAGAGTTATTTTTTGACTTCTAAATATAGCAGGTATAAACTTGCAAGTTGTTTAAAAGTGTAATTTTGGTGATCATAATTTTTGCAGTAGATAAAATAATGTTGTTTATTTTCTGTTTACATTTTAATTGTATTTTCAATTAATCAAATTTGTGAGTTTTTTTTTTAATTTAATTAATTGGTACAATTATTATTTTTCTAGAAATTAGTTTCCCTAATTTGTGTTTATTTTTGTTTTAAAGTTATTTTAGTAGATCGATCAATATAGTTTTAAAAAACATTATCGTAAAATATTTAGTTTAAAAGGAACAAACAAAAATCTTTAAAAAAAATATAATTGAACCCAATCAGTCTATTGGACCACACTTGACCGATCACGTAACTTTTAATCACTTGTTCGCCACCGGGTTAGGATAGGCAAAATTAAGTGATTTTGTAAATCTTACAAAACAACTTTCAACAGAGAGTATTTAGTCCATTTGATAATAATTATTAATATACTTACCTAGTTTACCTGTTACTTATTCTGAGTCAAAATTAATTTAAGACGACCGACATGGTACCAGTTTTAATATTGTTAGTTGATTCACATCCATTTGATACAACGTCAAAAGGTTTTAGTAGCCTTAGATGGAGGTATGGAAATTTCAGGGCTCAGGTTAATATCAGAATAAGATTCTAAAATGATAAAAGTAACGGATTTACTGCTGCTGTAGATAAATTTGGGAAACTGCTATCTGGTTGGACTTTACGAAATGCTTTATTAATTATCAGTACTACTGCTTACTAGGTATATAGTGAACTATCCAACATATTTTCATCATTACTTTCAAGCAAGTCAAAATCCTGACATAAAAAATCTATTTAAAAACAATAAAAGAAGCCCCTCACATACCTAAGGGGTAGCAGTAACTCGACGGCCATCAATTTTAAGGCTATTAGCTAGTATACAGAGAATATTTAATATAATCAAAAATTACTCTATTCCTTGAGATTTAACCCTTCGAAGCCTGAATTTGTTATTTTGGGATCTGAATAATTTTTTGGTTATAATACTCAATTAAACGTGCACAATGATTAAAAAAATATGATATTGGTCAAAACAAATCATAATTATAAAATTTAAAGGCCATAATGAAGTTTTTTAGATTTAAAAATACATCTGTTTCTCCTAAAATCATATCTTTATCAGCGAAATCAAATTGTTCAAATAGACAGTATGTCTTCTACATAGATGGAGTTAACATCTGGTGTAGCTCAAGGTAGTATTTTAGGCCCTTTATTATTTACTCTCTATACCTCACAATTTCCAAGTATACTTAAACAATGTAATTACCATTTATACGCTCATGACACCCACTTATACTATTCTTTTAAGTATTCCAAATAAAATGAGTATAGAGTATATACAGGATATTAATTCTGATCTAAAAGAAATCTATAATGTATCTAAAAATCATTCATTAAAAATTAATCCAAAAAAATCAAAAGCATTGTTTTTTTTTTGTAATAAGTCTATTAGGGATTCAGTAAACTCTTCAAAATTGTTGAAAATTAATAACGCGTTTATCTCTATTGTTAAGCACTGTATAAACTTAGGTCTTACTTTAGATTCAAAATTAAAGTTTGAACAACATATTACTTTAAAATTAAAAATGTCTTATGCATGTTTCAAACTAATATATGTTCAAATACATTTTCTATCACCAGATGTAAAACAAATATGTGATTCACTGGTAATATCTAATTTTAATCATTGTGATATTGTATAATATGGTCTATGTTTAAATATTTTCGAGTCAGTCTAGAAGAATTCAAAAATTGCAGAATTCTTGTATATGGTTAATATTTGGAATTCGTTAATATGATTACATTTCTACTAAATTTAAAGAAACTAAATGGTTAAATATAAGCAATAGAAAAACTTTACATTTTGATTGTCTCAAAAATTATTTAATAAAAGGACACCGCCATACCTGCTGAACTGATATTCATAACCTAAATATTCGTTTTAAATCCATACTTAGATTGCTTAGATTTTTAAACGCTAGTTTTAAAAGTTTTTTTACCTACAATGTCACAGTCCATATCAATAACCTGTTAAAAATTGATGCAACCACCGAGAAAAGAGTTATTTATAGACAAATAAACCGATTTGTTTGATACTTACTTGTTTAATAGTAACATTATTTATTTATTATTAAGAAACCATATTAACGTGAAAATTTTAATATAAAAAAATAATTTTTTCGAGTGTAATTTCTTTAATGTAAAGAAATTTGTTCTTCTTTAAGCTAATCATTTATACAATTATTTTTCCCGCACTTTTTATAGGGAAAAATGGTTTCAGTCCCGAAGTCTAATTTTTGGTAGAAAATGTAGATCTTAACATCTTGAACGAAAAAAAGGTAATAGGCACAAAAATCTACCGTCAGGATTTTGCGCTACGGGCCATAGGAGGTTAGCACATGGGTTTTCAGGTTTCGGGACATTTTTATCAGAAAATAGCGTCTTCAGTGGCCGAATTATGGAGACATGCATGCCTGGAGGTGTGTTAGAGTGAAAAAGTACTATATATTCATGTATACAGAAAAAAAAAAAATTAGCCAAAAAAATGAACCAAAAAAAAAACAAGATTAAAAAATGTCCATTTCGGTCTTCCACACCACCTACTGAGGTTCCGAATGAGGCGAATTAGCTTTTTTATAGTGGTTCTTCGCCAATAGCTCTATACTCCACTGATGTTCCACAAACTATTCCATCTCAACTACTTCGATTTCAACGTGATTATTGGCATTTACTCTGGCATCGCGGACCCGATCTAATACTGCTGTAGGTTCCGGTTTCCCGTGTATAGTTTGTTTCGTGTATACATATAATCGTTTATAAACCTTATAACCAGTATATTTCACATTTTCGATTGTTCCAGGACTTGACCGGTGTATTTCAAATTCGCTTGGCATTATCCTATATTCAAGATAATCTTGGTGATGGAAGACGAGCGCAATATCAAGTAGATTTAGATGGTCAAGACGGATTGCTTCGAGTAAGAACTTCTTCACGATACAGAGACGGCGTAAGACATCAATTATTATGGATCGCCTTTACTAACGAGTCCGTTGAAGATGATGAAAATGCTGTTGTTGGATACTACTGTACTTGTCAAGTCGAAGTAAGAACACTAGGTACATGCTCTCATATTGCAACTGTGGCCTGGTTTCTGGGGTATGCGAGACACCAGGAAAACGTCAAGTATCCACCTACAGTACTATTAGATCGCGTCCGCGATGCCAGAGCAAATGCCAATAATCACTTTAAAATCGAAGTAGTTGAGATGGACTAGTTTGTGGAACATCAGTGGAGCATGGAGCTATTGGCAAAGAACCACTATAAAAAAGAAATGAATGGAACGTATTTAAAGTGTGTAGGTAGTATTATTAATATTAATAAAACTCAGTAAAATTAGTCTTAGCGCTTTCAGCCGGTTAGGCCATCATCAGAGACTCTACAAAGATAAAAAACCGGAGCTATAACAATAGTCAAATCGAGATATTCCTAAACATTGAATAAAAAATAAAAAAAAAAAACATTAAAACTTACTTGTCAGTAAATATAGAAGGTGCATGAAAATTAATTATTTAAAATTTTATTTATTAGATTGAAAGGGCTGCCACAATACGGTCCCTGGTTCTCAACCATAACTTGAGGCTTAAAACGAAGCAAAACCAATCCTAACAGGTGGTTGAAAATTGAGAAAAAACGTGGGGGCTCATCCCAACACGTGTAAATAAACTGTCTCAACCTTTCCAAAGAAGAGAGATGGAAAAAACTGAACTTCAGCTTGAAGCCAGCTGCCCTTTCAAAGTAGCTACCGTCAGGCAGAGGCAAGTTGGGACACAGGTAATCGTAAAACGTAGAATACAAAAAAGACGAAAAAGTAACCATCTTGACTTAACAGTGCCAAAAAAAGAACTGAGTGACAATTGACAGTTGACAATGAAGTTGTCAAAACAATTGCCAACTTGAGAAATACAAATAAATTTCATGAAAATTGATCGAAAGTTAATATTTAAAAAGATAAAAGTGGGTTGGAACCACTGAAGTAGCAAGCACAAGTTATGGAGGGAATTTTAAATTTTAAATTATTTTTAAAAAACAACCAAACGTTACAATAATTAAATGGAATTATAAAATATACATTAAGTGAAGGTAAAAAAACATTTTTGATATAAAATTATTGAAATTAAAAAGGTGCCTGACTAGAACAACACACTTTAAATACGTTTCATTCATTTCTTATTACCCAGTGTGTACACACCACTCAACCTCTTCACTATAAAAAAGCTGATGGGCCTCATTTGGAACCTCAATAGGTGGTGTGGAAGACCGGAATGGACATTTTTAATCTCGTTTTTCTTTGGCTCATTTTTTTGGCTTATTTTTATTATATAGTAATTTTTTGTGCCCATTACCTTTTTTGTTCAGTATGTTGAGATCTACATTTTCAGCCTTGGGACTGAAACCATTTTTCCCTATAAAAAGTGTGGGATCCTTATAATGCAAAAAATAATGTTTTGTTAGAAAATAGAACGACGTTATTTGAGTAAAACTTGTCTTTATTACCCAGAAAAAATCATAACATCTTGTAAAACATTCCTCCACTTTAAAACAACAAATTATTTATCCCTAAAAAATCAAATTAATATTTTTACAAAATTACATTTTTCAAGTAAACCGTATTGATATATTTATTAGCCTTAATTTAGATCTACTTATACTAAAAAAAAATAGGTATTTGTACCTAATTATTACATTAATTGTTACGAGAAACAAACCTATTTGCTCCAAATCACATATTTCTTTGCCCATAAGAAATCACATTAGCCTTATTATATCCAATTAATACAAAGGAGACTTCTTACCCCACCCGTTTGTTCCTGTATTCGGTCTCAGGTGGTAGGGCCACGCTGCGTGGCTTCAGTGATCGACTTGATCGAGTTTCGCATGTTTTGTGGGATTTTAAAGTGTTTTAGACTATTTTTGTGTAAATAAGTTTTATATTAGAAATAAAACGAATTATTTTTATGGTGTTTAGAAGAATGTTGTGAACTCTTTGAAGGTAAGCAAATAAATGTTCATTTTATTCGAATGGGTTGACAGATACATATTTAGCTATTATTTTTTTTAAATTAATTTCTTATCACTTCGATTAAATATCAAAACCATCTATGTTTTTTCAATGTTTTCAAATTGATAAACCATAAACCGAATCATTATTATACAAAGAGAAAGAATTGCCGGCAATTATTTTCGGTTTCTAATTTTAACCTTACGTACTGAAAGTTATAAGATCCTGTTTTGAATGCATGTGGATAAAAAGCAGGTTTTTACCTTTTTGTGGACTAGCCGTACTCAAACAATGCAATATTGAAAACAGTAACATAAAGATAAAATTGACATAAATGTTTTAAAATTACAATTAATTTGTTGACTTTGGATAATAAATTGTAAAATGTTCTTTCATAAATATAAAATAAAATTATTTTTGAGGTAGAGGTACTTATTACATTTTAAAAATCCTGCAGTCACAGTAAAATGACCTAGTTAATTTTTTTGCAGTCATCTAAAATGCATGGCTATCTTGAATTCGAGGGAAGGGAAAACCGGTTTTTCCTCTTTATTATCATTATACAGAATCATTCGTTTCTTAAAATTTCTACTTGCCGAGATTTAAGAATAGATAGGTAGGTACCCAGGAGATGGGTTACATAGGTGTTAATTATGTTTTAAACTTTGTTTAGTGGTAATGTATTGTACTTATTTTATTTAACAATATTAAGCAAAAATTAATATTTTCTACTCTACAAATTGCAAATAAAATATAAATGGGTAAATTGGACTTGTAATAATAACATAAACCGGTGTGAAGTTAGCAGCCACTTTCCAGCAGCCCGTTTACCGGAAACACCCGAGTTACCAGTGGCGTCGAAATGTATTTTTCTGTGAAGTTAACGGTGTATTGAAATAAAATTACTACTAAATTTTTAAGAAACAAATAAAAAGTGTTTAGAGAAAGGATTAAGGGGTAAACTGAAATAAAAATCCAATAAAAAAATTCATTAAAAAATCAATTTTTCTATAAAGATAACAGAATATTGAAATAAAAATAGTGTCAAATTGTTAAAAACTATAAAACACAACCTAAAAAAATTATCAAAATCACTTAGGAAGGGGATGAGGGGGTCAAATTAAATAAAATTCCATTAAAAATATATTTAAAAATTAATTTGCCTATGAAGACAATTGGGTATTGAAATAAAGTTAGTGCCAAATTGTTAGAAACTATAATATACAACCTATAAAAATTAACAAAATTACTTAGGAAGGGGATGAGTGGGTCAAATTAAATAAAATTCAATTAAAAATCTATTTAAAAATTAATTTGCCTATGAAGACAATTGGGTATTGAAATAAAGTTAGTGCCAAATTATTAGAAACTATAAAATACAACCTAAAAAAATTACCAAAATCACTTAGAAAGGGGATGAGGGGGTCAAATTAAATAAAATTCCATTAAAAATCTATTTAAAAATTAATTTGCCTATGAAGACAATTGGGTATTGAAATAAAGTTAGTGCCAAATTATTAGAAACTATAAAATACAACCTAAAAAAATTACCAAAATCACTTAGGAAGGGGATGAGGGGGTCAAATTAAATAAAATTCCATTAAAAATCTATTTAAAAATTAATTTTCCTATGAAGACAATTGGGTATTGAAATACAGTTAGTGCCAAATTATTAGAAACTATAAAATACAACCTAAAAAAATTACCAAAATCACTTAGGAAGGGGATGAGGGGGTCAAATTAAATAAAATTCCATTAAAAATCTATTTAAAAATTAATTTGCCTATGAAGACAATTGGGTATTGAAATAAAGTTAGTGCATACAACGTTTATACACCGGGACAAGCAAATATTTTTAAAAATATGCATCACCTCTGAACACAGAAAACACGGATTTAATAATAAACTAAAGATTCTTTAATTAAAAATAGGACAAATAAACGAAACATGCTTAGATAAAATATTACTCGTTTCCGAAATACAGGGTGTTAAAGTTGAAAATTGAAAAATTATTAATGGCTATAATTTTTGTATTAGCCCAAGGCTTCTACGACTTAATCAACAACGCGTAATATATGCATTATGAACAACAATCTTACAGAAATAATAATATTCAGGCTAATATAGTTGAAGAATATTATAGGTTGAATATATTTATTGCATATATGGATTCCCTTACGTCGCTTACATCACGCTTTTTCGAAGACTCTGTTAGTTTTTCCTTAAGTCCCAAAAGCATAAAAAAATACTTTTTTCACTACCGATTAAAACATGAAAGTAATGGAAAATTTGGAATTGACAATTTTGAAGCTGAATACCAAACTGGAGTATGAAAGAGCTTTCTGCACACAATGAGCTCTCCATTAATGATATAGCCGTCCAAATGTTGTGAATTTTATCCAGATATACAAAGTGATTTAAAAATTATTTATGGCTCTTTCACCAACGACAGAGTTAATCAAAAGAACGTTTAGAACGCTAAGGCATGTTAAAACATGGCTGCGGTCTATTCGATCAGTGCAAAGTGAAAATAGGGGAAACAAAAGCCACACTAGCGCGAGCTGTGAATAATTCGAGTATTTAGGGCGATATTTTGTAATTGTGGCGTATCAAATACACGTATACATTTTACTTTTAACTAAAAAAATAGGTTAAATACAATAAAATTAGCAACCGGATTTGTTATAATGCAAATTATACTAGCAAAAAAAATGTAAATTATATAAATTTTCAGTAGCAAAATCGAAATTAAATCAAAGAAATAAATGGACAGCTGTATAAAAATCAAAAAAAACCTATATTTTTGTAATAACAGTAATACTGGAAATAATAGACATCAGAAAAGGTTTTAAATAGACAATAAATTATTATTTTATAATATTCTTCAACGTCCTTTAAATTTTAAATGTTTAGCAAATGATTACATTTTTGCCTTTGATTATTGTATATGGCTGAAATGCAATCTTGTGACTTATTGATAGGAAACCAGTTTTAATCATAAATTTCTATGATTTCTTTTTAACTAAAAATGAAGAAAATATAAATTACAATCACAAATATACAAATTATTTTTGTTAATACGTTTTAATTCTACGTTATTATATAATAGTAATGTTTTTATTTTGACATTATTTAACCTATGCTTAAATGACCACTTATTAGGCTTAGGCAAGATCTCATACATTTCTCGTAAATACCTACCTATGTTTTATTAT